AAAAAAAAAAAAAAAAAAAAAAAAAAAAAAAAAAAAAAAAAAAAAAAAAAAAAAAAAAAAAAAAAAAGAGTTAGAGTGAATGCAAAGAAAGAAGAGAAGGTAAAGAGGTAAGAACAGCTGGTAGGAGCCTGAGTCACAGGGATTCCTCTTTGATGAGGCAGAGAAAGCAGAGCCAGTGGGGGACTCATAGAAGGTGGTTCCAGAGGTGAGAAGACCAGGCACTATGACAGCAAAAGGGATGGGAAGGGAGAGGTTTCAGGAAGAAACATGTTGACTGTTTCAGAGGCCTACAAAAATAATAAAAAGAGAACTGGGTTCCAGGGATTAGGGGAAATAAGACAGGGATAAGCAGTAACAAAAAGTGGCTGTCTGGAAGCAACCTCCCAGCCCAGGGGTTTGGCTGACAAGCAGGAGAGCACTCTGAGAGCACCTGCCTAGGGAGTAGTGAGCTGGGAGCAGCCTGGTCCTCCCTCCCTCCTTGCATTTCGCAGAAAGAAGACAGACCACTTAGCAGTATACCCAGCAGACAGACAGGCTAGCCCCACCAGGCCCCTAGAGTGAAGTAGAAGGCAGAGTAATACATCAGACTTTGAGCTGAATCAGGGCTGAATCCTCCCACACAGGACCAAGGAGCAGGTACGGCCATACCACTCCCTTCTTCCCACCCTCAAGGGAGAAAAGGGCTAGAGTGGCAATAAAACCAGCACCTCCCTCAGTTACCAAGTCTCAGGACCTCAGGGAAGTGCAGACTCTGCCTCCTAAGCCACTCCTTCCTCCTAAGCCACTCCTTCGTAGGACTGAGGAGGAGGACAGGTGGGGGAAGAGAAGGGGAGAGGAGGAAGTACAAGCTGCTGAGCCTCCAGCTGCAGGAATCCATACTGGACTGGCCTGGCCACAGGCAGAAAGAGGAACAAACCAACCCATTCTGGGGAGAATATCTATGTAATAGGAGAATCAAAGGTTTGGAAGCCCTCAGCACCCACAACCCACCCAACCTGCCTCATCCACCCTAGCCCTTACTGGATCTACCCTGTCATTACCCACCTCCAACCTCTCTCTTAACTGGACTCAGCTGAGAATAAATCCCTTGACACACACACAGCTTCTCCCACTTCCCAAAGCACTGCAGCACTCTAAAAATGGCCTAGAATGGCCTGGAGTTCATACTCAGTCCAAGCCCTACCTGCCTCCCTCAGTGTCCCAGGAAATCCCCACTCCACCCTCTCTTGTGGCAAACACGCATGTCCTAGGGGTTTCCAGATGAGGATGGCTGGTCTCAAGACCATCTGGCCACAGTCCAGCTCAGCTCCCTGTGACCAGACTCCAGAGCTTCAGACTCTGGCCCTGGAGAGGGACTCCTTGGGGCCTCTGTGGAGCAGGAAGGGCATGGGCAACTCAGGTCAGTAAGAGTCATCACCACCTACACTTTCTGCTACTTCCTTGTGGAACAGGCTCCAGCCCTGGTCCAGTGGGACTTGGTGGCCCAGCCTGGCCCGCAGACATGTCTCCCTCCCATCCCCAGGAATCCCCATCTCACCTCTCCTCAGAGACCCAGGAGAGCTATTGGAAGGATAGGGAGAAAGGAGGACCCTTAGCCTGTAAGAGAGACTAGCGCAGGAAAAGGCTGCGAGGGAAAGTCCTTTCTCCACTTTCCAGAATAGAGACCACTCCTAGATGTGGCCCCAGCCCAGTTCTGGTCCTCAGACTCCCCAGTTTTCAGTTCTGTTATCCACTGGGCTATGTTGGGTCAGAATGCTAGGTTTCTACCAGAGAGGTGGTCTTGTGTGAAAAACAGCACAGGACTTTTGGAGGTCTCCCCTGGGGTGAATCCTAGGCCTATCATTTATAGGCAGTGTTACTATGGACAAATTCTTTTTTTTTTTTGAGATGGAGACTTGCTCTGTCACCCAGGCTGGAGTGCATGATCTCAGCTCACCACAACCTCCATCTCCCAGGTTCAAGCAATTCTCATGCCTCAGCCTCCCAAGTAGCTGGGATTACGGGCACGTGCCACCATGCCTGGCTCATTTTTCTATTTTTAGTAGGGACAGGGTTTCACCATGTTGGTCAGGCTTGTCTAGTAACGTTGACCTCCTAATCTGCCCGCCTCAGCTTCCGAAAGTGCTGGGATTACAGGCGTGAGCCACCATGCCCAGCCTACCCTGGGCAAATTCTTTAGCATGGGAGTCTCAGTTTCCTAATCTAAAAAGTGGGATGACTGCTAGTAGCACCCTTTTTGGAGGCTGTTGTGATGAGGCCTGAGTGAGAGGATGTGGCACAGCAATCAGTAAAGTGCTCACAGAGGTTATCAGAGGTGACCCGCCCCTGTGCTGGAGCCCCACCTAGCCAGAACAGCAGGTAGAGAGAATGGGGAACCAAGGTTCTGGACTGGCCCTTATCCGAGCAGACTGTTCAGTTGGGAAGGAAAGAGGAGGAGCCCTGGCCTCCACTTTGCCCTTATCCATGGAAGTAAACAAGGCTTGGCTACCAGATCTAAGCAGGGAGAGCCCTGTCTGGCTCATGCGCAGACAAACACACCTGCCTGGACAGCTGACATCCCTTCCCTACTAGGTATACATACCAACAGCCTGACTCACCCACAACCCTTCTCATTCCCCACCCCAAAGACTCTAGGCTTCTGTGCCTACAACGTCACTCCTCTCCGTTTGGGTCAGCCGCAGACTGGGCTTGTCTTCTAGCCTCGAATCTGGCAGTCTTCCTAGACCACCAAAAGGCCAATCCATTCCTAGGGGATAGAGAGAGGCTAGCCAGTCCCAAGTCCAGCCAGTGGTGGAGACTATGGCCAGGCTCACCTGACAGGGCATCGGTGTGCCTAGACCAGCGCTTAGCCAGGGTGCTTTTCTAGTCACCAGACCTTCCAGACAGTTCACTCCCTCAATCAGCCTTATCAGTGCCAGAGGTCAGGAGTCCTGGGGACTGACTCTCCCCTCCAGTACACACAGCCCAGAGCTAAAGGCCTCTCTGTGAGCACCAGCCCATCACCTCTGAACATCCTGAGTTTAGGAGCCAAAGTCTGGGCTCTGCACTTCTCACTCATGTCCCCTTTCCTTTGTTTACTGTTAGTACTGCCTACTTCTAAGGAGGGCTTGGGGTAGAAGTGGAGTCCCCTGGCCGGCTGCAGTGGCTCACGCCTGTAATCCCAACACTGTGGGAGGCCAAGGCAGGTGGATCACCTGAGGTCAGGAGTTCCAGACCAGCCTGGCCAACACAGTGAAACCCGGTCCCTACTAAAAATACAAAAATTAGCTGGAAGTGATGGCAGGTGCCTGTAATCCCGGCTACTCAGGAGGCTGAGACAGGAGAATCACTTGAACCCAGGAGACGGAGGCTGCAGTAAGGTGAGATCATGCCATTGCTCTCCAGCCTGGGCAATAAGAGTCAGGCTCTGTCTTACACACACACACACACACACACACACGAAGAAGTGGACTCTCCTTAAGTTCTCTCTGATGTTCGCCTCCCCTGGGACTCCATAACCGATCCCTTTTCTTAGTCTCTCCAAACCCATCCATCCTGGCACCCTCCTCCTTACCTCCAAAGCCCTGGGTCCGCAGCTGGCGGTAGGAGCGGTACACTTCCCTCGTGAGGTAGTTGATGAACCCCTCCCTGGGTGCGAACTTGCACACGAAGTTCTGCTCATAGAGGCAGTTGATGAGGAAGCAGGCAGCGATGGCGTCCTCCCCGCGGTCGGGCTGCAGCTCCACCAGCGCCAAGTTACAGTTCTGGGTGGTGCAGCAGGCGCGCACGCAGTCCCAGCCCCGGCGCACGGTGGGGGACTCCAGGAAGGTGGCTCCGTTGCTGACAGAGGCGTTGGTGTCCAGCACGAAGTCAGGCACCCCGGCGGTAAAGCGGTTCAGGCAGTCGGCTCCTGCGGGCAGCCCAGGGGGCGCGGGCGGCGGTCCTGCCTGGGTGCCCTGGAGGCCGAGAGCGCACAGAAGCCACACGGCGACGGCAGGGATGCGGGCCGGGGCGAGGCAGGCGCGCGCCATCATCCTCGCAGGGGCCGTCGCCTTCCTCCCCAGGGGGGTCACCTTCAGAGTGCGGGCCTCTGGGTTCCGAGGGTGCTAGTAACCTGAGAGAAGGGAGGAGACACACCAGATCAGCCGGGGAGACTTCGGAGGAGGTGGGCCGGCCGGGAGGAAGCGGCGCGGGGCAGGGGGTGGGGGGGACCGGAGCACCCCGGGAGTGAAGAGGGCGCACGGGCCCGGCCCTCCCACGCACCCTCCAGGGACCCGGCAGCCAGACCGACGAACAGACGGACCGCTAGGGAGCTCACGTACCCGGACACACGCACGAGCGCAGAACAAAGGGCCGGACATGCTCCAGCCGCCTCCGCCTGCTCCTGGGCCTCGCGCGGTGGTGCCCCGGTTACCTGCGCAGGTGAGTTGGGTGGAGCCGGGCCCGCCGAGGTTCCGGTCCCGGCTTCCTGCGCGGCTCGGGCCGCGGCTTCCGCCCCAGTGCTCGGAGCGCTGGGGCTCGGCCGCCTTCTTCCCCTAGTTTCTGGTGAAACTGAGTCAGTGCTGTCGGGGCGGGGCGGACATTAACCCCTGCGCCGCTGGCCCCGCCCACGCCTGGTGCGCCCGGCCGCCTCCCCGGCGGAGCTCCAGGTCCGGTCCGCCCCGCGGCTCCGCAGCCCCGGCGCCTTCCCGGCAGCCAGCTACCCGGAGGGGCTCGCGGGCCCCACTCAGTCCAGCCTCGCGAGGAGGCCCGCGCCCGAAGCGCATCCACAGCCCGGAGGGGACGCGGCCGGGACGCTAGGGTCCGGTCTCTGGGGCGACGGCCTCCCGCCTTCCTTTCTGGCTGGGGACTGCACTCCCAGCCCGAGACCTGAGGCCAGATGCAAATAATCTCTCCGGCCCTCGGGAAATCATTTACATTTCGTGGCGACAAGGGAACCCAGAAGTTGCGTGGCTGCACCTGTGATAACTTGGATCCCGGATGTCTGCCCCAGTGTCAGCTCTGGGAAGCCCTCCCTGCTGTCTGGGTGAGAAACAGAGGCAATTCCCCGCGTCCAGGCTGCCCTCAGTGCTCCACGGGTCTTCCCTGTTGTTTGAGGCCCCTGCTCTTCTTGTTTGTGCAGCTCGGTCCATTCCCTGATACGGCTCGTTGGACTGCTGCCGCCTTTACTGGAGCCTAAGCTTCCTCTTTCACAAAGGGATGCTTCTGGCCACTCTCTTCCGGGAAGTGTCATCCTTGGAAGGCTGGAGGTTCCAGTTCACCAAGTAGCTGAGTTAATGCTTTTCACGAAACCGTGGATTCTTTGAAGTCAAACTTATTGCTCTTCCTTAGTAAAGAACTTTTTTTTTTTTTTTTTTTTTTTGAGACA